GCCCCTAAATGCAACCTAATGAAGGAAGGGTTTATTTCGGTTCACATATAGCCAAGGCTGTCCTGGAACTGGCTATGTAAACAAGGCTAGTCTTGAATTCACAGATATCCTCCTGCCTCTGCTTCGGGGATTAAAGCATGTGCCACCATGCCCAGCAAGAGCAGGGACTTGGACAGTCATGCTGTGTCTTCAGTCCCCAGTAGAGAGGCTCAACAAAACGTGTGTTGGATGACTAAAGCTGCCGCTTCTGCAGAGCTGCTGCGGATGGAGCATTTTACACATTTGCACCGAGTCTTTCTGTGAGCGCGAGTACAGACGTCATCGCCTCTGCTTTACTGATGAGGAACTGCTTGCCACTCAGAGAGGCCACGTCACTGCCAAAGTCGCACAGCTAATAAATAGCAGGGCTGAGCAATTCCAGGCACCTGACAGCAGACATGTGCCCTGAACTTCGCATTTCTGCCTCTCAAGTTACCAAGCCACTGTCTCCATTTCTTTAGGAGCCAAATAAGGAGGCCCGCTCTGCCCGCTGCCAGGATTCTTAGGAATCTGAAGGCACTCAAGCATGCCCGGTGTCGCTTATAGAAGGAGGGTGTGTAGTTCACACATACCCAATTTTAAATAAATATGTGTGATTTTAAAAATTGAAAAAGATACACACGAGCCTAAGCACTGTGTATAAACACACTCCATGTTGCACAGACTTCCTGGTAGGATGTCCATTCAGCCACCATGCCCTGTGGGACATCTGGGCTGTTGCCAGTCTCTCAGTTCCTTTCCCAGTCGCACAGATAGGAGGATCTCATCCTAACCCCGACTGATCTCAAATTCTCTGTCATCAAGGATGATCTTGGACTGTTCTTCCTGCCTCCACCTCCCAAGTGCTGGGATTCCAGGCCTGAGCCACCATCCTTGCCACACTATCTGGTTTTGAACACCTCGGAGAGCTGACTTCCTTCATAGGCTCTCTGGGGATACAAGTAGGCATTTAACTCAGCCGTCCCAGCGTCTGGGCTTCTGGGACTCTGGGCACAAGGCTCAAGGCTGCTGGGCCAGTGCTACCAGTGAGGTTGACAGAACGGAAGCTGCAGGGGGAGATGTGCTGGAGGTGGGGAGGCCTCTTCCTATTAGTGAAACAGGATCATTCCAGTTCTGCTCTGAGCTCAGCTGAAGCCCAAATGCAAATCCCCACATCATCATCATCATCATAATGAGCCCTAAGCACAGGAGAGGCCTAACTTCCCATCTGGCCTTGAACCTCTTTTTTTCCTTCTTCTTTGTTTGATTTTGTTGTTTTGGCTTGGCTTTGGGAAACAGGGTTTCTCTGTGTAACAGCCTTGGCTCTCCTGGAACTCACTCTGTAGACCAGGCTGACCTCAAACTCACAGAGATCCACCTGCCCCTGCCTCCCGAGTGCTGGGATTAAAGGTGGGTGCCACCGCTGCTTGGTGCACCTGTTTTAAGTTTTAGACATGTGTATTAGTTACTTTTCTGGTTGCTCCGGCAGCAACAAAAATACCTAACAAAAGTAGCCAAAGGAAGGAAGGAGAGAGAGATGGAGGGAAGGAGGAGGGAAAAAGGGGGAGGGAAAGAGAAAGAAAGGAGAAGGAGAGAGGAACAGAGGAGGAAGGAAGAAGGAAGAGGGAGGGTCCGCTGCGGCTGGGATGCCATGGCATCAGGAGTTTGAGGCAGCTGATCATACTGCATCCACTGTCAAGAGGCAGAGAGAGATGAACACTGGCTGGCTCACTTTCTCCTATTATTCTGCCCAGGACCCCACCCATGGGATGGTGCCACCCACACTCAGGGTAGGTCTTTTCATCTCAGTTAACCCAATCTAGAAACTTCCTCACCTGCAAATGCTGATTCTAAATCCCATCAAGTTGACCTTTAAGATTAACCACTGAGGCGGTAGTCTCCTGTAGCCCAGGCTGGTATCTAAGGAAGCTCTTGAACTTCCAATCCTACCTCCATTACCTACAGCTGTGATAATAAAGCATACACCAGAATGCCTGGTTTATGAGGTGGTAGTGATGGAACTAGGGCTTGGTACATGCCAGGCAAGCGCTCTACCCGCTCTACCTTCTGACTGAGAGCAACTCATCTCCCTTTTGTTAATTCCCTGTGAGAGGGCCACTGCCAATCCCCTCTGCTTCCCGATGTGTGGTGAAGCAAGGGAGCAGGGGTGGGTGTGTTCTGGAAAGAGGCTGCCAGAGGTCAGCTTACTTCTGTGTCCTCTGGCTCTCCTCTCCAGGGGCTATCTCAGGGCTTGGGGGGAAAAGGTGGACACTTGGCTGGAACCCAAGGGATTC